AGAAAGCGTTTTCAAAATTTTACTAGTTAAATAAACTATATTATATTTTGATAGGAAATATTTTGGCAATTCACCCTGTATAGAGGAGATGATGCCGAAATTTTTCCTTCTTCTGGTACTTGCTTACATGTGAATTTAAATTAAGTGATTGAAAGGTTATTGAGTAAAGTGTGATATGAAGGTTTATTTTTCATACACTTAAAGTTTAGTCTTCGGAACTGGCATGTGATGTGTTACGGATACTTTTTCAACTATTTCGATTCAATACCTGACTAGTTTCAATTTGATCCTACAAGGATCATCTTCTGTAAGCTTTTGATAACATGTCGGTTGTCGATCCGTCACTTTACGATTCAACTTTAACTCGTTATCGTCACTCAACCTAAAGGCCGTAGCCCCCGTGGTTCGAATTGTTTCTTTTGGGGTTTTATCCGGACTTTTATTTAATGATCATTTAAAAAGGTTCTGAGTATTTTATTGTGGGAGGTTGAACAAAGGCTAGGGCTTGTATGGATGAGGCAAGGGGTGTGAGCGCAAAGAATGGTTGGAGTTGACCCCGTGTAGTGCGTGGTCTGTTGATGTGAAATCCTTGATGTGATTGTAGGTATAATTGTGGTTCGGACTCTGGATTTAACTTGTTTACGATCACGTATATATTTATGAAGGAAGTCGCACTGTGATTGTAAGGAGTGATCGTCTCGTGTCTTATAAGCCTTTATATATATATATATATATGTATATATATATCAAGTGTCCGCTCGGTCTACTGCGATCGTGTGTAGTGATCAAGCAGATTCACATTAAAAAAAAAAAACGGGAGATCTAATTTTTGTTGTTTGTTTTTTTGAATTATTACAGTTGAACTTTGAAGTCCGTGGCGGCCGTCCAAGTCACATAGAGAAAAAAGGATATCCAATTTTTGCCTTTTACTTTTTGAAATTATTATAGTTGGACTTTGAAGTCCGTGGCGACCGTCAAAGTCAAACCCTATGACCTGTTTCCAGACCTCCAATGACGGAGCTTGTTTCCAGGGCCAAATGTTGAGCACCACAAAGGGTCGGAGCCCGTCTACCACCCACTCCTCATAAGATGCAGAAAAGGGTAGGACTCTCAACAATCTTAGTGGTTGGCTAGTGTCGAAGGATTAACCCCTCCAGGCGCGTTTCAACTGACACTTGAGTATCGAAAGTGACCCTCGAGACTATTGAGGGCCACACGATTATGGGTACTGCACAATACACATCACTGCAACTGTTTGCATATTCATGCATGACTAGTCAATATGAAGAGACTTGCGTCCATACGGTATTTATTTTAAGTCCAGCGCGTGAAGCCTAATCGATTCTTATGTCGGAAAAGTTATGGGTTGAATACAAAAGGGACAAGGAGTGTTTTGTGTGAGTAACTTGATTATTTATTTTGGTGTGGTATAATGCGTGGTAAGAAGGATGCGTTATAGTCGACCGGTGTCGAATCGCGCTTGTGGCGTAACCTCCCCAGTGCATCGGCTCGTGTATGAGTCCGAGAGAGGCGTGCGACTGCCCCCCTATGCTACATCATACGAGAAACGCCCTCAGCTGGGCCATCTCTGCGATTGCAACTGAGTAGCTTTCACACGTGGTTCAGTAGCTCCGCGGGGATACGTCCGTTCATTGGTGGTGACAACCCCTTGGACGGAGGTAAGTTGTGCCTCGCGTGACCCTATCCTGTCGTAGGGGTTCGTGAGAGGTATGACTGGCGCACTCGGCCGGAGCGGCGAAAAGCTCCACCGCGATAAAAAGTCATGCACGAATCCTGCGTGACGAGGCCGGGAGGGTTCCCCTGTGGAATCGATGCGCTTGACACCACGCGTCCACAACGCACTCGTCGACGCCCTCGACGTCTCAGCGACGGACACTTTGATCACTTACTATTTCCTACTGACTCACACCTTCTGATACTCCATCATCAGCTTCTTTAGGATGCCATCGTTTTGTGGCTCTACTTCGACATCGACTCCACTCCTACTTCATCGACACCATTGACCACTTCGACGACTTCAACTACCTTATCGGCTTCAACTACTTTGGACTTGACTACTTCACGCCACTACCTTATCTTGTGCATTCCTTTTTATGTGCCGCATGATGGTTCTCACTTAGCTGGTTCTCCCTAAGTTGGACTCTCGCTTGGTATCGCATTCACATTGGGACCGTAGCATTATCTTGGTTTTCCTGTTCCCCCGACGTAGCTCCCTCCCGAGTCGGTGAATTGTGTGCATATTTCCCTCACCCACTCCCTCATCACTTTAGTGTCGGCGATTGCATGCCTTCAATTCGGCATATGTCCACCCTATTCCAAACTCCCCTTTCATGGTCGACCGTGCCTGGTGTCACCCTTTTGTCGAGCATTGCCCGCCTTGATGGTCTATCTGTTAAGGTCATTGGTTTTGTTTCGCTACCACTCCCTCTCCCTGAGCCGGATGATTTATCCCACCTTCATGCGTGGTTGCCCTTAAGAGTTTCGATTCTTAGGCTGGATTCACCCCCTTTGAGACTATCCCACTCTTAGTGGTTCAGCGACACGACATTGCATTGTGACATATTGCTATCTTTTCCCTTCAACAATGAGGCAATTGCCTCTAGGACTTTAGAATTGTACCTTGCGACATTCATTTTCTGCTATTAGTTAGGATGTGTATATCAGACGTTTGCTTTTGCTATAGCATTGTGTAGCTTAGGCTGCATCGCAATGACTTCGCATGGAGCTTGCTCTGCATCCTATATTTATGAGCTTTATTGTTGCAGAGCTCCGCTGCTTTTGCAGAAGCGTGTTTATGGCTGTCGTGATCCACTACAAGTCTGAGGATCGTGCAACGTGCCTCTAGTTGCCGTGGCCTACAGCCAAGGCTATCAGGCTATTTTGCCTATTCAGCATGTGGCTTCGGTAAGCGCTATCTCGAAGCGCTTTCGCGGGCACCCGGTGAATCCTCCACGCGCCATTGCACGCTCAGGTGCGGCGGTGAACTTTTCACACGGGAAAATTCGTGACGCGCGCAGCCCATCATCACGGATCGAGCTCATTAGTAACAAGGAAAGACTCTAAAGGAGAGCAAGCCAACTCAACACCCCGCCACGCCCGCGGGCGTGGCAACTCCCACCCAAGTAAGCAAGCGGACAAAAAGCGCGCAAGAAGGAGGGCGAGGGTATTGGAAAGTGGAGACGGCCGGCGCAACTGTAGAGGAGAGCAAAAGAGGAGTGGGGAAACCTAAGAATGGGAAAACACAACAGAGACAAAAGGGGAGGAGAAGAGCTCGTGTTCAGGGACAGAAGATAGGGAGGAGGGGAGAGAAGGAGATGACCCTATTTTCAGGAAGAAACAAAGAGAGTGGTCGCTACCCGGCGAAGGCAAGCCCCGTCACGCGACCAGGCCGTGGCCTGACCCCACAGGCCGTGTGCTCATTCAGTCCAGTCCATTCCTGCCCGGTACCACTGTTGGCACCAGGCCACTCCAGTTTAGTCCAGTTAGTCCGCTGGGGGGTTATCCCAGCTGCATATACCCTAGTTGCCGTCTATTTCAGTCCCATTCTTCATTTGCACACTTTGGAGTATGTAAGTGTTGAGTCTGCGTTGGAGCTGCACTGTCCCTTCCAACTCCATCTCCATTTCCCCCATCCTCATCCCTTGTTTTTTTTTTTATCTTGACGGACCACCAACTCCGCGGGTCCGTCACATGGCGATTGTGGTGCAGTGGCCTCCCGATGGGGCGCCTCGAGGATGTAGGATCCTAAATTCGAAGGGGGGAGCCGCAGCAGACTGGTAGCTCCGCCCAGGCTGATACTCCCGGGTGTGTGTAGCAAGGTCTCTCTTCTCCCTCTCCTCTAAAAGTCCTAGTCTTGAGTGATCCTTGAGTGAGTGGGTGGGTCCGCTGTGCCGTCAGGTGGGCTGAACTCAGCGCGGAAGCCCCCTGTCGGAATTCCTCCTTGGATCATATCCCTGACGCCCTACAACCCCTCTGAAAAAAGAATACACCGAAGGTTATTTCACAAATTTCTGAAGTGTGTGAGATGCCCGTTGGGATTTAAACCACCAGTACTTGGCCCAGCTATCGATGCCGAGCCTGCGCGCAGGCCCTTGGAGGTGGACGAAGCGACATGGGCTGTTGATGTGAATTATCCACGGCCCGCAGGCTGTGAAATTTGCGTAGCGTTAACGCTAAGGGCCCGCGGCCGATGTACGGGCCAAGTACTGGTGGTTTAAACCTTTGCAATCTGCCCCTATCAGGGGTTTGTGCAAGTCTCCATCCTATCCCTGACAGGGGCATAGCTTGCCAACCTCCTGACAGTGGTATAACGCAAAGTTTAAATCCAAAACTTCTCACAAAACTTTTGAATTTTCAGAGGGGTATTCCACTCTACCTACATCTTTTAGGGGTATTTTAGCGAATACGTGAATGTTCAGGGCTGTTTCGAAAATTATTCCTCCAAACAAACACGAAAAAACCTGTTCTGCCAGCGCTGTCGCTCGCAGATCCTTGAGCATACACTGTCTCGGCCTGCGAGTCCTCGTCCTCGCGGTATGGCCGGAACTCGGTTCTTGAGGCTGCACGGAGGAGGTCCACGGCTAGAAATAGTACTGGCTGTACACACGCCCGGAAATAGTACTGACTGCACACAAGCCTGGTAAACAGCGTGGACATTGCACTAGCAATGTGGTGGCCGTTGGGGGTCGGGCCCCCCTACTGGTAGTGTGAAGTTGTGGATATAGTGCCCCTTACGGATTATTCCTATCGTTTTTTCTGTCATCGTTTATAATTTGTCGCTCCAATTCGGACGACGATTGCCGGTCTGTGCGAGGGTCGGGGGTCTTTTTTTTTTTTTTTTTTTTTTTTTTTAATTTGGACCATTTCTCGACCATTTATGCGTGTCATCCTTGCGCAGGGGCCATGCTAATCTTCTCTGTATCGTTCCAATTTTAACGGATGTCCGGGTGTTGCTCGGTATGCATGCATGCAACGGCCGTGTGAGGAAAAGGCCGGTCCTTGGCGTGCAAGGAAGAAGCAGGACATCGCCGGCCGAACACGAGCGGAGTGGGGCGGTCTCTGGCGATTCGCGACCTCACCGAGGTTCGGACGGCGCTGACGTGTCGGTGGAGAATCGGCGCAGCGATGGCCGCTGGCGGCTGCATGGCGGCGGCACGTGGCGCGGCGTTCACTGCCACGTCTCCTTTGGCGGGATATCTCGCAGCCACAGCGGGTGACCGCTGCTGCGGCGAGCCTCTTCTCCCTCTTCGCCTCCGTTGTGTTTCTTCTTCTTCTTCTTCTTCTTCCCCTTCTTCTTCGCCGATGACAGGAATTCCGCATGCATGCGGCTGCGCGACGCGATCGCGTGTCCCTAATGCCGTCTTTGCTGTATTGGGCGCCGATCGCCAGAAGCACGCCGGGAACGTGAGGTCCGGATTACGCCACCTGGAAGATACCTTGAGGACATTGCGCGCGCACACAGCATCGCGTAGAGGACTGCATGAGCCATGCAGGCTCCTGCAGAGATATGGTGTCGAGGAGGGCGCCGAACGTCGAAGACGCATAAGAGGTCGCCACGAATGCTCCTGCCATCCATTCTCCCTCTCTCTTTCTCCCACGGTCCCCTACTTCATCCACAGGCGACGCGGTGGAACTCGCGATCCTATCTGCACGTGTCCCACCCGCTACCGTAGTTCCCTTTAACACTCCGATCCCAACCCTCTTCCCCTTTCCCGTTGTTGTGCGTGTGCTTTGCCTTGATGCATTTCATCTCCTCGTCTGTCAGAACGATGTGCGTTGCCGCTTGTTTTGTCCCGTGCACAGTCGAGGCATTGACAATCGGTGATTGATNACTTGGTAATTTCCCGCGACTTCTTCCTGATAATTCCTTTTTTTTTTTTTTTTTTTTTTTTTTTCTCGCCTTCTTTTCGGTCTTCTTCTCCTGCCTGTGCCTCTCCTGGTATCCTCCTCAAATTCCCAGGTTACGTTTCGTGCTAAGTATAACGCAGTGGGGCAGGTCAATCGTCTCAAGCAGGGCAAATCTGGTGTTTGGACCGGTCATGTGCATGTTTGCAATGCTGGTTCGTTCAGCCCATGCTGTTCCCTATCTCGCCATCGTCCTGGCCGTGTGAGCTGCTCAGCTGCCTTTAATTCATTGCAGCCGAAGCGAAGCGAAGCGATTCGCTCTCCTGGGGGGTTGAGCCTAAGCAATGCTCTCGATCACCTTGGCTCCGATTCCCGGGTCGACCGTTTAAACCCCTTCTCCATTTTGAAATCTGTCAAAGAGCGGCCTAAGGAAATATCCAGAAGCTGTCGCGGTGGCATTGTTTTTTTTCTTACGTTTTACCTGGTGCATTGAGGTGCACCCGCTAGGTGTGTGTCTGTGTGTGTGTGTCGCTGTGTGTGTGTGTGTGTGTGTGTGTGTGTGTGTGTGTGTGTGTGTGTGTATGTGTGCGTGTGTGTGTGGAGAGAGAGAGAGAGAGAGAGAGAGAGAGAGAGAGAGAGAGAGAGAGAGAGAGAGAGAGAGAGAGGAACTGACGTTCAGAGCGAACACCAACCGAAGAGTCAACAGGATTTATCAAGTCGAACCACTCTTGGAATACGCTGCTGCCCACACTGCACTCTAGACTTTGAGAGGTTAGCATCTACCCGCGAAGCTTTCTACGACCAGATTCTGACTTATTCATACTAGCAGGTCAGGTAGACCAAGTTCACACTGATGCTTGGCAAGTTCATCAGGCATATTATCATTACCAGCTAATCGTGCGACTCACAAGACTCTGTAGTCAGCGGGTAGCTTGTCAAGCTGCTGAGGCTATGCTGCGTGCCTTCGGGATTTCCCACCAACCTGGGTTAACCCAAGCTGATAACAGACACTTGCATTAAACCATGGATTCATTTGCATGTTTTGATTGATTGATTGATTGATTGATTGATTGATTGATTGATTGATTGATTGTCATCTACAGAAACCTTGATTGATTGATTGATGATTTGATTGATTGATATTCTCTCTCTCTCTCTCTCTCTCTCTCTCTCTCTCTCTCTCTCTCTCTCTGTCTTCCACTGTTCTACTCTGGCAGGCCTCGGTCAGACTCTGATGTCCTCCCTCAACCGCACTCACTCTCGGCATCAGCTATGGCATGAGCGCTGATGACTACGCTACTCCTTCTGAGCCGAACTCGTTGCTTCACGGCACTGTGACAAGACCACAACAGTGCTGCCGCGTTAGGGACCTACCGGTAGTAAGGGAATTTGTGTTGACGGTCTGATGATGCCAGCCTTATAGTACTTGCTGCAGTTCCCAAATTTGGATCGTTCTTCCGGACTGGCAGCCTTCGCATGCTGGCTGCAGTCTATTCCGTCCCAATTTTTTTTTTTTTTTCCTTTTCTTTTTCTTTTTTTTTCTCCCTTTTTTTTATTATTTTTTTGCGTGTCATCCTTGCGCAGGGGCCATGCTAATCTTCTCTGTATCGTTCCAATTTTAACGGATGTCCCGAAGGACACCGTCCCAAATTTGGATCGTTCTTCCGGACTGGTAGCTTTCGCATGCCGGCTGCAGTCTATTCCGCCACATCGAGAGTGTTCATGGGCGCTCTTGGACTGCGCTGGATTTCGACTGACAGACTGACACCTGCCAACAATTATAACGAATTGGGCCTACTACCGTCTTCACCCGAATAGAACGCCCGGTCATTATAGCCGTATCTGGTGCAATTTTGAGTCCAGGTACGGCTATAATGACCGGGCGTTCTATTCGGGTGAAGACGGTAGTAGTACCAGATTGCAAACCTACTGGCCTCCTTCCGACGGGCCTACAGGACCTAGTACCCTGCTACTACAGGGTCGCCTTAGGACCCCTAATGATGGGGCTTTTGTTACATGGGGCTCTGGGACGTGGAACTGGGACTGCTAACCTACTGGCCTACTTCCAACGACTCTGGAGGACCTAGTACCTGCTACCGCACGGCAAGCCTAGGACCCCTACGAGATGGGACTGTGTTACATGGGGCTGTGGGATGATGTGGAACTGGGACCGCGACTCTGCATCGCGTGAAATCCTTTCGATACGAAAAAAATACTACCAGCACCAGCAGCAGAAAGGAGAACACAGTGACACATTAAATCCTTTTAATACTAAAAAAAAAACACTACGGGCACCAGCAGCAGAAAGGGGAACACAGTGACACATTAAATCCTTTTAATACAAAAAAAAATAAAAAAATACTACCAGCACCAGCAGCAGAAAGGAGAACACAGTGACACATTGAATGTATTGCCCCCTGCACCTGTGGCTCACGGGGTATAATACTGTTTTCATTGCGGAAATCAGATTTTTTTGGCCAAATTTTCAGGGTGTTTTTTTTTTTTTTTTTTTTTTTTTTTTTTTTTTGACTGTTGGAATTTCATGCTAGTTAAATCACGTACCTGTGTCCCATCCCCGTTCACAGTGGTGTCGCCCAAAACCCGCTCCTAATGATACTAAAGTGGTGAGACCGCAGCACGATGTGTGGTTGGACCTTTCAAGTGCTGCGATGGTGGCATGGTGCCCTTCTTCCATCTTCTACTGGAGCATATATCCAGGTATATACCGTTTCTTTCTTTTTTAATACTAACTTAAGATCCCTTTATTCTCTAGGCAGGAGCAGTCCGGTTACTTTTTGACGTCCAGTTTCGTCTTCTGTTGCATGCAGGTACAACGATTTCTGCATCGTCATCCGACCGACCAGATACAGATGAAGGTGAGTGCTGAATCTTCAGCGGACACACCTCTTCACTGTGTTGCTTTTGAAAGCCCAATGATACACGCGAGATGCACTTGCACTCAGATGAAGTGCGGTGCCATTAGGTGGTACTCTTTTTCTTTCTTCTTCTACAACATCTTCTTTGTCTTCGTCCTTCGTTGTCCTCCTCCTCCTCAAATGGCACTGCTCCTTCTTTTTCTTCTTCTCCTGGTCCTCCTCCTTGTACTCCTTTTCTTCTTGTTCTTCTCCTTGTCCTTCTCCTCGTCCTTGGCTTCTTCTTCTTCTCCTTCTTCTTCTTCTTCTTCTTCTTCTTCATTCTCCTCGTTTTCTTTCGTGAAAAAGACTGGCATGGCAGTGTATGCCAGTGTATGAATGGCATTGTATGCCAGCAGGATAACGAGGAAGAATGTATGCCAGCAGGATAACGAGGAAGAAACAGCACGGGTGGAAGCAACTGGGTGACGCATAGTGAACCAAGGTAGAGTTAAGGAGTCTAGTAGAGGCTGGACTGGATGACTCATAACTCTGTCCTTCCATTGTAGATTGGGCAGCGTCTCCAGGCAGGTTGATGCCTGGCAGGCGGTGTACGGCTGTACGCTGATGGGAAATAATTTCATGAGTCGACAGGGCAGGGCAGTGTTTAGAATGCAAAATGTACTAACCAATGGCATGGTAAACCTGCAAAGAAATCCATTATGTGCCCTTGCTTCATTAACTAATTAATTAATTAATTAATTAATACGAGCATGTGAAACACGAAACACACGCCATTTGAAAAGGTTCACACACACACACACACACACACACACACACACACACACACACACACACACACACACACACACACACACACACACACACACACA